CAATTTTCAAGAAAATGACTGCCTTATAAAACTCATCTGGCAGCTCATCATTCACAAGGATAGAAAACTTGTCCAATATAGTTTCCTTATTCAAAACTTGATAGTTTCACACAAAATCTTTAAACGCTATGAATTTCCTTCACCAATAGGATTGGATTGGAAAAGGACTCACACTGGGCTGATAATCCCAACTTAAGCATGTCTCAAATTTACTTCTCTATCTTGACCTTCTGAATTTGAGGATACCAGTATTGTCTGACACTGATATGAGGGTCACCCTTTCTTAAGGTAATGACGTGCTCATGCTTTCTCAATGGCAGTAATCCACTTTGTTGTTGAAAGATGTTGGAAAATTGTTGTAGGAGCTGTTGAACACCCCCGAGGTACTCTTCTGATTTGGGATAATAGATCTTCTCTATGCTTTGTAACTCCACCAAATCGCCTAACCCTACTGCCCATATCGTCTTCACTATGGTTTTGAGCGAGACCATGGTTTTGCGTAGGCTTGCATCTCCTCTCAACACCACCTTCCTACCATTCACCTTGAACTCCATCATTAGGGATTTCTGTCCACCTTTGTCTGTCCAAGCGTCTGCAGCCACTTTATCCCTAGAATCACATCCGTGTTGCCTAAGTCCAAGGGAAGAAATCCTCTATCACATATTGGCCATGTGGTGTCAGAACTAATCCCATGCAAATTTTCTGACTTTTCTCCATCTTCTCTATCCACAAAGCTTATGTATCCACCAGCTTCAATCTTAGCTAATCTATGAACTGATTTGCGATGAAATTGTGTGTGGCCCCACTATCCACCAACACCACGATCAACTACTCGATCCGTCTCCTCAATTTCATAGTGTAATTGAGGGACACCTCCGCTACATCCAAGTGCAAATGCTTCTCTTTTTCTATCTTGTCTTCCTAGGTCTCCTCATTACCTGTCTCCTCCCCCTCACGAACTAAAAGGACCTAAAATGCGCGCCCCTTGTAACCATGGCTTGAGGCATACTTCTTCACATCGTAAACATAATCCTTTCGTTCTCTTGTTCTGCACATATTCCTCGGTGAGGCACTTGAAAAGATGATGAAAAAGCTCATTAAATTTATTTAAACCCTTTTAATAATCTTATGTAGCCAACTTAGGCATTAATACAAGAGAAAAGGAACAGAGATGGATGGTAGGGACAGCTCTATAATGGAAGCACATATTTAATTAAAGGTTAAATACAATAATTGACAAGCTTTTCTATAGATTTGGTTGCAAAGTATGACTTATTCAAAATTTAGTATTTTTGGAGCAAATAAATTATACATTTGAGTTTTGATATTTTGAATTATTATGTTTATGCAATTTAAGGGCTTTTACACATTTTGCTTTGGCGTTTCTTTCATGAACTTCTCTTCTACTTTACACTGATGGTTCTATGAATTGTTTTCTCAATAAGCTCTTATCATGACTTTCTCTTGTGCTCATTGTCATCGTGCCTCAAGTATTTTTGAATTCTGGGTCAGGTTGGAAGGGGGGAGGGTTGTGAGAATGTTAAGAAGTGAGAGTGCTATGAATTATGATATGTTTATAACTATGATTAATTGTTTAATCTTTATAAAATTTGATAATTTCTTTAATTATTATAGCGATCAATATCATTTAATTTAATTGATAAAATATTAGAAGTTAATATATTTCCAAGAAATTATTTTATTTTGTATCAAATTTATGAATTAACACTCAACATTCCCAAATAAATGCTAACATTAATAAAAAAAATTAAATATTTCAATCAATTATAATAGTGACAAATTAGTGTCTATCAATAAATCAAGAGTATTTGATGCATAATCCTAAAATATTATTGATATTAAATTTTAAATTGGCCATTGGCTTAATATTAATATTTTGTGATGCTATAATAAATTAGTAACAAGCAAATAGTGTGTTTAATGATTCTCATTCTTATTTTTTTTAATTAGCTTTATTGCAATGATTAGAACTCCTTATATATTTATTAATTAATACTTCTTAAAATAGTTGATTTTTTGTAGAACTTAAACAAATAAATAATTACTTAATATGTTCTATTTTAGATTTTAATAATATTTCATTAAATTAAACTTTAATTTTTTTGAGTTAGTTTAAATTTAAATGAGATCTAATCTTATCAAGACGGATTAAATCATATATTTATTTATTTTCTCAAGTGTTCACCACTTCTAGGCATGCTCATGTAAGTCATAATATCAAAGTAACCTCACTTAAGCAAGCAATTTTAGGAGGCTGCAAATTGGGTACCTAACAGTGTAGAACCTCCTAAGTAGTGAAAATAATGAAAAGAGAAATTAAAAAAATAAGAGATGGGAATTGGGAAAATAGTTTGAGATTGTAGGTAAAATATAATATATTTATGTTAAATAAGTGATTAATTAAATTTCAATTTAGTATTATCTATCTTAATATGAAGTCTTTAACAAGTTATTTGTTAAATAACAAAATCTCTTGTTTGTGAATATAAATAATTTAGTTGTTGGGATTCAATCGTAGTTTATTTAGCCTTTAATTTCTTGAAAAATATTCTTTTTTTTTCTTATTTACAGAAATAAACTTGAATGAGTTTTTATTTAGTAGAATTTGAGTTATTTATCTGGTACATTGGTTAACTTATAGTCCTAATGGCTTCAAATTCTTTCAATCTTAGTTTATTTTGTCTTCAAGTTCCTAAAAAATATTCAGATTTTTTTAAATACGAGAATAAACTTGATTGGATATTAGTTTTGTAGAATTCAAGTTATTTATCTAATACATTTTATATTCCTATTGGCTTCAACTTCATTGACAGTCAAAAAACCAAGCATCATGCTGATTAATTTATCCACAAAACGAATCATCGCCTAGAATGATCATAGCAATTAGATAAGCTATAAACTTTAGATGAATGATAATTGTAGTTTTGATATTGTTATGATCAATATCACTTGTCCAATAATGATGCTATTTCTGTGATATCATTATATGATGATTGATGGCATTTGTTGGAGCGAATTATCACCAGGATTTTCTGTTTAAATTTAAATTGTTTAGGGTTTAAATTTTCAAAATTATCGATGTTCTAATTGGGCATTTAGGAGGATGTACCTTGATGTATGCTATTTGTTGATGATATCCTTCTTGTAGATATAGCTAGAGAGTTGAGGAAAAACTTGATTTATGGAGGTTAATTTTAGAATTTAAAGGCTTTCATTTAAGTCCATCTAAAATTGAAGACATGGAATGTAATTGTAGTAGTAGTAGATCTAGTGGTGGGGTTGTAACAATTGGTGATCAAGTCATAAAAAAGAGTGAATGATTTAGATATCTTGGGTATATTGTTCAAAGTGATGGTGATATAGATGGGGATGTTAGTAGTATAATTCAAGTTGGATGGTTGAAGTGAAGGATTGCATCAAGCCTATTGTGGGATAAAAACGTACTGCATAGATGTAAAGGAAAATTCTATAAGATGATGGTGAGACATGCGATGCTTTATGGTGCAGAATGTTGGTTTGTAAAAGAGAAGCATAAAATTAAGTTTGTGGTGTTGAGGTGAGAATGCTCAGGTGGATGAGTACACTTAGAGACAAAATGCGAAATGAATATGTCTGTGAAAGGGTTGGAGTAACTCCAGTTGCGGACATGATTAGAGAGTCACCTTAGATGATTTTGACACGTTAAACGTTGCCATCTGATGACCCTGTTAGGAGAGTAGTTGTTTTGACTTATGTTGAGAAATGTAGAGTAGACATACAAAGGCTTGGGTATGTTGTATAAAAAATGAAATTTATTTATTAGAATTAAATAAAAATACGACACTCAAGAGGACATATTGGAGAAAAAGGATTCATGTAGTGGGCCCCACTTAGTGGGACAAAGGCTTGTTGTTATTGCTTTGTGGTAAGGTTCAAAATTTCCCATGATTATATAAATTCTAGAATGTTATAAAGCCTCTACAAACATTTAGAAGCTGAGGAACCTTATAAATTTCCCCTGAGAATTTTGTGAAGGTGTAGCTTCCAACTTAAAATACCATTAAAAGTCATCCCTACGGAAGGCTTTGATGAAGTTTAGTAGGAGGATTTGTTTTTTTATTATTTACAGTTGAATTTAATTTAAGTGTCTCTTAGGTTAGGATATTAGAGGTAATTTACTATTTTTTACAATTAAATTAGGTTTGAATTTACTTGTGCTTTTCTATTCCTATCAATGGGCCTTAGGTTGGTTTTTAAAAGTTTGAAGCAATTAAATAATCTCCTTTTTAAATTTTCTTTGTACTGAATCACAACACCAAAAATTCTTCAGACCACCTCTAGGTTTTTGGGCTTCTCTCTCTTTTTTCCTAATCGTACTAGAATGATTTGAAGCTCTATTTTTTTGCTAAACTCAAATTTCTACAACTTATCTGTTGATCCCTTTGGCTAATTCAGCCTTCATTTAGTCCATTAAGTCCAGATCACTCCTGAGGATTCGACTTCATCTCCTATTGGAGTCCCCAACAAGAGTTGCGTGTAATTTAGGTTTAGTTTTGCTTGATTGCATTGTATTACAGTTCTGTCCTCCCATTTTGATTTCATATTTATAGGATATTGCATTTTTCTTTATTAATTCTCATGGAAATCATATTCCATGAAGCACTTTCCAATTTCCCATCTGTTTGGATATCCTTCGAGACAACCATTGCCAAATCAGCTTCAATTACAAAAAATGAATGGATTTTGTTGTTTGTCAAGCTGCGTAAGTCATTTTATTTATTAATCTAAATGCTAGCAATTCAGAATTTACATGTTATGCTTTGTTTGTTAGTATCATTTTCTTCTTCGTGTAATCGAGTCAGTTAGTTCTCTGCACCTTTAATGAGATGTTTTCTTAGATTTAGTTTATATTTGAAAGATTTGTTAACCTTTTTGCAGGATCGCTGTTTCTGCTTTATTTATTATTTCTCATCTCTTATATGCTGAAATCTTTTTTGCAGCCTTCACTTCTTTATCATTTTGTTAAGTTTAATGTGGCCTTTGCTTTTATCCTTTGGTGTGGACTTCAAAATAATGACTAAATTAAAAGAACTCTGCATTATTTGACTGCTAAGTTTTAGCCAAAAATGGAGTGCAACAAAGAAGAGGCTATTAGAGCCAAGAGCATTGCTGAGAGCAGGATGCAGAGCCAGGATTTTGAAGGGGCACTAAAGATTGCTCTGAAAGCACAGCGACTCTTTCCAAACCTGGAGAGCATATCACAGATCTTAACCGTATGTGAGGTACATTGTGCTTCAGCTACTAAGATCGGTGGGGAGACAGACTGGTATGCGGTCCTTCAAGTGGAGATGACAGCAGATGAACCAACTATAAGGAAGCAGTACCGCAAACTCGCACTCCTGCTCCATCCTGACAAAAACAAGCTTGTTGGGGCTGAAAATGCGTTCCAGCTTGTTGGAGATGCTTACAAGATCTTATCTGACCCACAAAAACGTTCGCAGCATAACGTGATTAGGAGAGCTAATTTCAGCAAATTATCATTTAATCAGGCTGCTCGGCAGTCATACAGGCCTTCTGCAAAGAAGCAGCCAGGACCTGGAGTTTCAAGCACTGCAGCCAAATCAAACTTTGCGCATTTTGGTGGTTTGAACCAAAGCAAGCCATCCCCATTCTTGGGTTCTGGGGCTTTTTGGACCATGTGCCCTTCTTGTAGTGTAAGATTTCAGTATTTTCAGTATGTATTGAACAAGCAGGTTCGCTGCCAAAGATGCTTTAATAGATTTGTTGCCTATGATTTGAAAGCAAAAGATTTATCCAGCACGGGAAATTTAGAAAAAGTTGAAAATATTGCTCCGTCTACTTGTCTGAAAAGTGAATGTGCAGATGCTTCCACCATGGAAGTTCCGAGAGCTAATTTGGATACTTCAGCATTGAATCAAGGATTTAAACCTGAACAGAGACCTCAAATTTTTGGTGCGTCTAAAAGCAACCTTAGAGATGGCAAGACGGAGAATAATCAGACTATATGCAACGACTTGATATTTCAAAATGTGCAATTTCATTCAATTCATAATAGCGACCACAAGGGAAAACCTATAGCAAGTCAAAAGAAAAGGAGAAATGAGGATAATCAAACACCAGAACCAACTGCTGATAAAGCTTCTAGTATTTTACGAAGATCAAACAGACACAAACAAAATGTAAATTGTGATGAATTTCAAGGTTCGTGTGTTAACTCTTTGCCTCCTGCTTACAAAAGGTCAAGGCAGAGAGAAAAACGGGCTGATTGGGTGCAAAACAATAATGAATCTCTTGGTGTGATTACTGATGAAAAGGGTGAAGAAAGTGGGAACAGACATATTCGTTCAGAGTTTAATGCAAGTGCAGCCTCAGGATGCAAGACCTCCGTTGATCCAGCAAACCTGACATACCCTTCTCCAGAGTTTTGTAACTTTGAAAGTGAAAGAAGCGAAAATAAGTTTGCTGCTGATCAAATATGGGCTCTTTATGATAACATTGATGGGATGCCCAGATTCTACGCTCGTGTTCGAAAGGTGTACAGCCGAGAGTTTAAGCTTCAGTTAAACTGGTTGGAAATGGACCCCAGAACAATTGATGAGATGAAGTGGTCCAAGGAAGGCTTACCGGTTGCTTGTGGGAACTTTAAACATGGAAAATCGTACAATACTCAGGAACCGCACTTCTTCTCTCATCTCGTTTCGTGGAGGAAAGGGGTGAAGAAAAACTCATATATGATTCATCCTAGAAAAGGTGAAATTTGGGCTTTGTTTAAGAATTGGGATATTAGATGGAGTCATGAGCCAGATAATCATAGAGCTTATGAATACCAAGTCGTGGAGGTTGTTTCAGATTTCACTGAAGTAAATGGAATCAGTGTTATACGTCTAGCCAAGATAAAAGAGTTCATGGCTTTGTTTGTAAGAGCTTCTGATGCTGAAGAAAGTTTACTCGAAATACCAGCAAAAGATGTACTTGTATTTTCACACAGGATTCCGGCATGCAGAATTACTGGAAAGGAAGAAGATGGCGTACCAGACGGCACATTTGAACTTGATTGTGCTTCTTTACCAACGAACTTTCGAGTGAATTTCCCTTCTATTAGTCTTGTAAGTAAGAAAAGATCACCAAATGTTGGCGTGGTATGCAACGACGTAGATTTTACCTGTGAAAACAAAATTCCTCAAACTTCAATGGAGAATGGGTTTGAAAACAATGAGCAAGATGCTATGGAGAAATTGAGATCAGGAACAAGAGGTTTTGCATCCAAAATGATGAATGACGTCTCTGAGACAGTGCATATCAACTCAAATGGATGGCAAGATACTTTGACAGGATCGCAGATGGCATTCGAGAGAGAAACTAAGACACTTAGAAATGAGGCTATTACTAAAGCAGATAATATTGGTTCTCAGAATGCTGACACTGAGCCAAGCTTACTCGTCTTTGAATATCCTTCATCAGAATTTTATGACTTTGAAAGTGACAGGTTAATGGAGAAGTTTGAATGCGGTCAGGTTTGGGCATTTTACTGTGAAATAGATAATTATCCAAAGTATTATGGCAGGCTAAGGAAGGTAGACAGGGAAAACAATCAAGTGCATGTGAGATGGCTTGAGTTTTTTTCTGAATCAGATGTGGATGATCACTGTGCTGAAGACAAGCCGCCTTCTGCTTGCGGCACCTTTAGAGCCATTAAGGAGACATGTAAAATGGATTCAAGTGAAACTTTTTCTCATCAGGTAAAGGCAAAACCAATGGTGAAGAAGGACCATTATTATATCTTTCCTGATGTTGGTGAGGTTTGGGCAGTAATCAGGAACTGGAGTGCCAAATGGTCTGCCTCAGACCTCAAAAACAGTGATTTTGAGGTTGTAGAAATAACAGCCCGTGATGCTAACGGAATCAAGGCCTTCGTGTTGACTAAAGTTGATGGCTATGTTAGTGTTTTCAGGCGTGAAAGTGAGGGCCTTGACACGCCTAAGATCATTCCCTTAAATGAGTGCATGAGGTTCTCCCATCAAATCCCTGCAGTAAAGCTAGAAAGAGTAATGCTCAGTGGTGGTTACTGGGAGCTGGATCCAGCTGCTGTGCCTACTGTCTTTCTGACTTAAAAATTATGAAGAGTATGATGTGTAGGAACTCCTGATGCTTGTAATCAATATTCCCTAAAGAGTGCAAATGGTATTTCCATTTTTTTGAATTTAGAATTTTTTTGAATCTACAAAATCTCTTTTTTGATCAATATAATATTAAACGGCAGATTTCAAAACAAGAAATGGAGCTAAATTGGATATAAATTGCGACTTCAAAATTACTAGGGGATCAAGTGACACTCAACAATACAACCCAAACTTTTCAAATTTAAACAATTCTAATGTTGTTGAGGGCTTTTTGGGGATCACTTTCATCTTTTATTTTATTTTTTATTTCCTTATTTAAAAAAAAAATATTTAGTACATTTTTTTGGTATATTTTCATTTTTTATAGGAACAACTAAATATGTCGTACTAAATCAAAACATAGATGAAATAAAAAGAAAAAAAAAAAAATCAAGTTAAAAGTGATCCCAAATAATTCCTAATTAGATATGAACGTAAAACATCATTTCATTTGATTTCAGATATTAATAATTATTAGAACAAAAAAAGCATATCATAAATACCCAACATCTTTTGTAGCAGGTATGGGTGAAATTAGATACTCCATTTGTGTTCCTTTTGGCAACCCTCCTTTTAAAAGTATTAGTATTTATAATCAAACAAATATCCTTGTTACCATCCCTTGTACAGAGTGTTTTGTACTCACTTTTGAATAGGGATGCATTTTTTATTATACCCGCAAAATATAATATTATAACGAAATATGCATTCTTATGGAAGCAATTCAGTATGCCAATAGAGATGGTTCATATAGAGTTTTCATACACAATCTTTATGTTAATTGTAGACTTTAATGTGTTATACAAAATAATATGCCATTACAAGGTCTATCAACATTAAGGAAATCAATATTCATCACCATATACCTTCGCTCATTAACTTGAATATATCCTTTTTGAAGCCTCCAAAAGATTAAAGTGACTAAGGTAATGCTCCTATGCTATAAAAGTCCTATGTTTAGGAGTATTCCTTAGGTATCATCTCCTTACATACTCCATTCAGTTTAAATTCAGAGTTTTTGGAGTTTTGAGATGAAACATGGCCTTTTAGTTAGGATCAAAAGGAATGTGATATATATTCTACATTAGAATTGAGTGAAGAAAAAAAATATATTTCAATTGCTCCAATTCGAGTGATAAATAAAATTCTTAAGTTCGACAAATTTATAAGCTCCATTAAGAATAAAAGATTAGAATACTCCAAATCTTTTATAATGATTTGTAGTATAAAAGATTATTTATCACTCGAACTTAAGAATTTTATTCTTAATGGAGTATGTTGAACTACATTATTTATTTATCACTACAAAAATCTGTACTTTGTACAAATTTTTTATTCTTTTATAGTTCAACAAATATCTATAAATAAAAGATATAAAATTCTTAAGTTCAACATAATTTTATAGTGAACTTATGTTCGACATACAAAGTAATTTTCATTGGTGGTGAAGTTTTCTCCATAGTAATTTTCATTGGTGTAAATGGATACTCTAAATCTGGGAGAGTATTCATGTTTAAGCAACGGTGTTCCCCAATATAATATCTAGATTTAATGGTGGAGCAAAAAATTAGAGTTTTCTTAAATTTCTGTAAAAGGTTGACCATAAGAGCTATTGTAAGTCTTTTGATCTTCTAAGAAAAACTTGAATGCTCTTTTTAACTTTTTATGATAATTAATAGATAAAAAAATTTAATTAAAAATTTATAAGCATGAAATTTAGGACATTTATTTGTATTGCAAGTCTATTCACCACGGTAATGAATTTTTAACATCTAAGGTTGGAGGAAAGTTAGATGAAAATGTTGGCTTATTTACAATTTTTAGGCATATTTTTGGCTTAACTTTATGCCCGTGGAAGTTCGCATGCTTTTATATACAATAGTGAGAATCTTAACTATAGAAGTTTCAGATATTATCTAACTAATGGTGTGATCATGTCGTACGGATTTAGGGAAGGAAAAAGTATGAATTTTCTTAGCAATACATTGGATTGATGGCTGGAGATGTTTGTGAGGTTTGAAGTGAGCCATGGATTTGAGAAGGTGGTTTGAATATATTAAAAAAAGAAAAAAAGAGGAAAAAATTTGTTGATTTGATAAGCTTTTATGGATGTTTTTTTTTTAAAATAATAATAATAATAAATGATTACATGAACTCTCAAAATGCATACATATTTATAAGAGATCAAAGTTTTTTTTCTTGAATATGTCAGAGTAAACTTATGAGGTAATATCTCTCCAATAAAATTCATTTATGATGACAACCCTCTCAATACCACTGAAATTAAATGGATTTAATGAAAATTTTGAATAATTCCCTTAAATCCTCAAGTAGGATTGATTTACATAATTTCTAAAAATTTGCTTTATTTTTAATATTTATTTCCAAATTCTATATGACCATCTCCTTATTTCCTAGAAAAAATAAAACAAAATTAAAATAAAGAAAAATTAATCTTCGTGGTAATAAGCTTTTGAGATTAATATTGCAGGTGGTATATTAATTAATTTATTTTTATATATCCCTAGTTTTTCTTAACTTTGTATATCCATTCATTAAATAGAAAGGTTTTTCTTATCTTTATGCTGGTACACGAATGCATATCAGAAGTAAAACTTGTTGATTAGATCCAATAATATGTAAATTATATTTATCATATACTGGGCTGATGACCGAACTTAACACATACTTATAATGCCCAAAGAAATCAAACAATCATTCAACTACTATATTTTTTCCATTAACAAATAAGATAATATACTTAGTAAATTAGAGATGAAAACTCTTCATAGAGTTTTTAGTAAGGCATTTTATAGAACAATAACTACTATAGAGTTGGGTCAAGAACTTGAATTCATAATCAAGAGCAATAACTAATAATCTAAGAGAAAGGACTCCCTTTGTCAAAGACCATTATAGGTATTAAGAAGTTTATACTTTCCCATTGAAATCACTAAAAACTAAAAGTTATGAACATATCTCTAAATGATGGACACTTGAGCTTTATATAAATCAAGTTGATTCAACACGATGTTATTGCATTCACTTGTAGCTTATAGACCTTTCATAAGTGCTATAACCAAAGAAAAATAATATATAACCTTTATTAAATATCAGCAATGAGCTTATATTTTTCAATTTAGATTACTATATTATCTTTTCATTAAGGAAATAAGTGCAAAGATTGAATTTTGAATGCTTATTATCACCACATAAACATATATTATTGATAAATCCATATACAATGAGATGAAAGACCATGTTATTTGTGTTTTCCTACTTCTTGAATGCATATATAGTTACTTGATGAAATAAGTTACATCATAGCTTCTCCTTTTGTAAATCTATATAATTTGTGGATGGGGAAGAGAGAAAGTTACTAATTAAATAAGTGAAAAGAGAGAATAGCTTGTCAATGGAGTAGGGAAAATAAAAATATAGACATTTACCCATGTTTATGGCTTAATTTAATGGAAGATGAGAAAACAAAAGGTGAAAAATAAAGTATTTATATGTATTTTACTAAAATATGTTTTTTTTAAATATTTTTTAAACTTTGGTAGTAATCTCATGAATATTAACATCTTTCATGATATTAACTCTATAAGTAATTATGAAATTTTATGTTGTATGGCAGTGCATTTGAAAATACAATTAAGAATAATATCTTTTCTATGAAATATAATTTGATGGATAGTTTTTCCACCTCTTCCCTTATAATGGTTGAGACATACAACTTAATTTTGGTGAGATAGTCAAAATTATTCAATTGCATCTTTACTTGGGGATTTTTTTTTCTCTAATCTTCAAGGCTATAACCACATTTATTAATTGGTTTAATGGCATAGCTTAGACTTTGCAAATGAAGATAAAGTGGTGAATAGCTTTATAGCATCGATCCTTATAAATGAGCTACTTATGGCGGCAATATTCTATTCAAAACGTAGGAGCACAATTATATTGCATAAATTGCATTTCTTTTACTTTTATTTTCAAAAAATTGAGCTTCCCTACATCTGTGTTTAAAATTCATGACATTTTTTAAGTTAAATCTAATTAATTGTTAGCTTATAATCATCTAAACCTTGAAGCCAATCATCATAAAACATATTTAAACCCTTACTTGAGTGCATGTGAAGTAATTATGTGTTCAACCATCCCAATCTTATTTAAAGTGTTATTATTATATTAAAACTAAATTTAAATCAATTTTACACTAATTAGGATATTTATAACAATTCTTCCCGTTAATTTATTTTATTTATTAATCTCATATGAATTCTCTTAAATCTAAAAAGAATATAAAAATATTTTAATTTCCTTACATACTATTTTGTTGCATCCTTTATAATGGCCCTTAGAAAAGCATCGCTTGATCAAATAACATTTAAATATCATAGTGTAGGAATGGGTAATAATATTTTTGAAGCAATTTATATTAAACACCGATGTGAAAATATAAATTCTCTACTTATTAGGCTAAGTGCCAAAATGAATCTCTTTTTCAACATGGGTTCCTCCATCTATAGTAGCCAACTAACTCATATTTATAAAAGATGATAAATCGTAAATTTAAAAGGGTTTAACTCTTAGGAGGTTCCATACACCAAGATTAAATGTTTTGAGTTGACGAGCCTCCAATAATGCAATTTATTTTAATGAACATTATAAGATAGTTAAAGTTAAAATACCTATTTTTAATATGATTTATAAATGTAATACATATTTTGGGTGATTATAAGACATGATAAATGCGTATTTTTTACACACTCTTAAATGCATTAGAAGAGGCTAAGGGGCCTAGAGGTAGGGGCGGGGAGTTAATTGTGCTACTACAATTTTGAAAAATTAAAATATTTCTATAAAATCTCATTTTTTTTAAGATAACACCAATGATCAAAGTAAATTTAAAATATTGAATAATAATATTGTGACCTAATCTAGTTTTAAGAACATGTAACATATATGCATAATTTTTTTATGTTATCATCAAGCATTTAAATAATTACATACAAAAGAAGATCAAATCATATGAGCATGTAAGAGAGCTATATATATATATATATATATGAAGTAAATTTTATGTGGTTAAACTAGAACCCACAACCTAGGATTC